ATTTAATTATTTTTGTCGTCAATCAATGTTATGATCATCTCTTTATGGTATGAGATACACAGTGATCGAGTTGAGGAATATCCAGTAATTTCAATGAGAATGAATGACCATGTCTTTCTTGCTTCTAGAGCATTGAGACGTTTTGCAACTCTTAAAGATGAGATCCAGTACAGGAAGTCGATGTATGGACCAATTCCGTCTGAATGTAAGCCGGCTGTCGCTGTCATCCAAACAGAAAATGAGATCAACCATTGTAATGGTAATAAAACTATCAAGGCGAGCCAGACCCAACGATTCAGTTTGATAACACCACTATCTCGTATTCTGCCCGATCGATTATTGAAAAATGCTGACGAACAAGGAGAGCAACCTACGAAGCTCAAGAACACAAACAGTCTCAAAGTGGCATTCAGTGAATTTTATCTAATGCTGATTCTATTACAAAAATTTCAACTACTCAACTTCACTGGCTTTCGTAAAATATTAAAGAAACATGATAAACTATTCCAAACGACACGTGGCGATGAATGGCGGTAGGTACTTCATTATAAGGTGGCATCTGTCTGAATTCAAACAGACTCAGTGAGATATATAGATTGATTGTTTTATTTGTTGTGGGATGTGCATAGTCAGAGAAACAACCAAGATTTGATGAGAATTCGACTGATATCCTTTTTTCAAATTCGAAATTTTGTCATATAGTAATTTTCCGATAGGAAAATGCACATTGATACGGCAACGTTTTGGACATCGACCGCAGTGATGGAACTTATCCGAGATGTGGAAATAATCTATACGGATGCACTCGAGTCAGGTGACCGATCACGAGCAATGAAGCGACTCCGGGTTCCCCCACTCGAAGAAAAGCAATCGCCACTGGTGACATTTCGTGTTGGAATCTTTATCGGTAAGCTATTTCATATATCTGTAACGGGAACGCATGTAACTTTCTCACTGCATACATCCACATTTATTTCTGATCGTGTTTCACAAATATAATTTGTAGGAATGATCTGTATCTTGTTGCCTGTATTGATTATCTTTATCGCCGTTTTGAATAAGAGTCAGTCTGGAAACCCACTCGCTTGGCGACAGGCTCTTAATCTTTATCGTTCATCATTTCTGATAATACTTCAAGTCATATTATCTAGTATAAATGTTTATGGTTGGTCGTCATCGGGTGTTAATCATATTCTCATATTCGGAATCGATCCACGTCATCATTTGACTTATCAACAGTTGCTTGAAATTGGGACATGTCTATGCGTATTCTGGCTTCTGAGTTTTATCGCCTTCGTTGTCACGTCCTATCTGGATTTTTACCCCTTCTTACAACCATTTAGTTTTCTGATACTCATGACTCTCTTTCTCATCAATCCAGTGCCAATACTTTATCGTCCAGCTCGTTATTGGCTTTTAAAAACATTGGGCCGAATCTTTTCCGCAGCGTTTCATCCTATCTTTTTTGCGGAGTTTTGGCTTGCCAATCAACTAGCATCGCTCGAGTTAGCCTTCTTCGATCTTGAATATTTCTTTTGTTTTTACACTTCGGATCGTCAATGGTGGTCAACAAATTTAACATCGCCAGCATCACCCAAAGGTGCATTTTGTACAGGTTGGTCAAGGTTTCTATTACAGGCATTTCTACTAGCAATACCATCTTCGATTCGTTGTGCCCAATGTATCCGACGATATTATGATTCGAAACTTAAATTTCCACATCTTGCCAATGCGGGCAAATATTCGACGAGTATCTTAGTGGCGATTACGAATTCACTTCGACGTGCAACCAATATATTAAGTTATCCAGGCAAGCCAAAGAAAAACCCATTTGTTTATACTTGGATCACTGCTGCGCTCATCAGTTCAACGTACAAACTTATATGGGATCTTAAAATGGATTGGGGTTTGTTCCATAAGAATGCCGGTGAAAATAAATTCTTACGTAATCATCTTGTCTATTCATCGAAGATCTACTATTATTATGCTATCATTCAAGATATTATCTTACGATACCTATGGACAATCAATATCTTTGTACAATTTACTACAGGAACAGCTGAATACTCTGACGTCATTGGTTTTTCTTTCGGTCTGGTTGAAGTACTTCGCCGATTTCTTTGGAATTTTTTTCGTCTAGAAAACGAACATTTGAATAATTGTGGTCAATTTCGTGCGGTTCGTGATATTTCGATTGCACCCATCAAAACTGGTATTAATTTTTCATTGATCCACTCTAAGTTAAGTAACGAACCGGGCATTCGAAGTCGACGCAGCAAAATACCATTCTCAACGATTGTTGAGGAAGAAAATATAGCGACATCCGATGATACAACTATAGACATCTTGAAAAATAGTGCCGCCGATCTTGTTGATAATATGGTATCGGCATGTGATACCACGGTAGTACAAAATGTGAACGAAATCAATACAACGTTGAGCGATATCAGAGCGAAGACGCGTCATACATTCTCAGTTTTGGATGATGACTTGAATTCATCAAATTCAGTTCTTCGCGTCGATCATTTAAATATATTACTAAAACGTTCCCTATCTGTATAAACTGATTTGCATATTGTCCTATCCTATTCATTCCACTTTCTATTATCAAATAAACGAAGAACATTTCGTCATTGCAGCAGGTGATTGTGAAGCTTACATAATCTTTTATGTTCTGCAAATCTACAGGGAGACCTATGCCTTATCAGACTTTGTTCTGTCGACAATTTTTCAAGCAACAAAGTCACTATATCTTTTTAACATTGAAGTAGGGGCAAAGAATTTCCCTTAATTTGTTTGGTTCCCCCATGGTATTTGCTCTTGGTTCTTATATTCTTAGCGTATCCGTTACGTTTGGACAAGCTGTGTGGTTCATTCTTAAACAATCTTCGGCGGCAAAAGTATTGCAAAACTTCGTCTGCATTGTATGCAAAGCCACTTTTGTTCTCGAAAATACTGCAGAGCAAGTCAAATTTTGCAGGCATCTAGAAAAGGTTTTTGGTTTCGCAAAAATTGAAGAACCATGTAAAAGATGAGCGGGCAAGCGTGGAGAATACTCGTCTGTGGGATAAAGGGTGCGGTAAGGCTCTTGTACGACAAGCCTGTCTCCGTACCACTCATCTTCAGTCCCACTTCAGTCAACATCATCTGATTTTGCCCATTCACCGTTTAGCTTTTTCTCTTCAATCAGGTGATCATTCGAATGGAAACGAGCACGTGCTTTTGTTGGTGACTCGGTTCTCTACAGTACATATGTGACCTGTTGAGGCATCCTTAGAATGCTTCGTACTCCCAACTGGAGATAAGCTACCCTCCCGTATGTCCAGTCTTTTCTTATAATCCGAGATAGAAACGAAAACGCGACGATCGATCAAATTTCTCAACGGCAAAGAACATCGCCTCGCTTCGATTGAGAATCGTTGAACTTAGACATGCGCCGGTTTCGGTTTTTAATAACTTCATCTGCATTGTATGCAAAGCCACTTTTGTTCTCGAAACTACTACAGATCAAGTCAAATTTTATAGACGGCTAGAAAAGCTGCGTCCAAAAACTGAGTTTAGCAACAGAAGTATAGTAAATTTAGTTTTCTAGATTTTATATGCTAGGGCGCACCTTTGTGCAAATCGATCTACACGATGGAAACTGATATTAACTGCTTTTCATCGTGAAGACACATTTTTTTAAAAGTGTCCCCAGCAGATAAAATCTAGAAAATTAAATTTGCTATACTTCTGCTGCTAAACTCAGTTTTGGGAAACGCTTCCTCCACGGTGAAAAGTCAGATATATCACTGATTTGACTTATTTCTGATTTGGTACACCGTGCATCTTTCTTCCGGGATAAACACTTGTTGATTCCTCCATATTGTGTCAAACATATTTTCAAGAGCTTATGCAACGTTTTTGGTTATGATCAGCTTCGGTAATGATCGGTTCGGGTTATGATCCGTTTCGGTTAACCGAAACCGGTGCATGCCTAGTTGAACTCGATGATTCCTACAATCGGCGACATACAGATTGCCACGTCGATCGAATGCCAAACCCATGGGAGAGCTGAACTGGTTTGCGTGTTGTCCTTCACCGTTCCCGCGAACAAGGACATTTCCCTGTGTCACCCCGTTGCACCAACGCATCACTCGATGATTCCAACAGTCTGCTACAGAGACTGTGCCCAACGGATCGACGAACACTGCTCGAAGAAGCGATAATTCAGTCCGATCATTCACTTTTCCTCGACCACCAGCCACGATAATCCCTTCTTTCACACCCTTGATCCACTGCATCACACGATGATTCTCGTTGTATGACACGTAGACAGAATGATCTTGATCGACAAAGACGTAACGAGGATTGTTGAGTTGATTGAGAAGGTCACCTTTTCCATTCCCACCCACCGCCACTGTTCCATTTGTCTCTCCCACTCGATATCGTCTCACTTCATGCTTCCCGTTGTCAGAGACGTAGAGAAATCTCTCATCGTCCATCGTCAATCCCACACAATCGATGTTCTGGATGATGGTTTCTCCACTTGTTCGACTTCGACAAGACCATCCCATCACTCGTCGATTCCCTCTGTTGCAGAGATTGACACTGTCTATCTCTTTGTCGATACTCACATCTGTTGGTAGACTCAGCTGAACAGTTTAGTAGAGTTGGTTGGATGCATTGCCTGCTCCGTGGCTTCCAGCGATGGTGACGCCATTGTGTGCAGAGGTGGGCGATGGACTATCTTTAACTCCCTCGCGAGGATCGCCTCACAGACTTCCTGCCTCGTCATCGCCCCGTACCTCGTCAAGTTTCGAGAAATCTACTTCGCGGGGATCGCCCCGTAAGCT